TCTCTCTCTCTCTCTCTCTCTCTCTCTCTCTCTCTCTCTCTCTCTCCCCCCTGCCTTCCTTCCTGAATATTCCAGTTCTAGAGGGAGACAACTGTGTGTTCGATGGGGTCATCTACCGCAGCGGAGAGAAGTTTGAACCGAACTGTCAATACCACTGCACCTGCAGAGATGGGCAGATTGGCTGCGTGCCCCGCTGCCAGCTGGATGTGCTGCTGCCTGGTCCGGACTGCCCAGCTCCAAGAAAAGTTGCAGTGCCTGGAGAGTGCTGTGAAAAGTGGACCTGTGGCCCAAATGAGCAGGGGACACTGGGAGGCCTGGCCCTTCCAGGTGAGGAACTCAGCAGACCTAGGGGAGTAAGGGTAAACGCAATCACAAAACAGGCATGGCTCTGAGTTTGGGATGGGAAGCCGGCTAGCTTCTGGCCATTCTCTTGTGAATTTCAGGTGGCCCCCACTGAGATCAAATGCATCATTTATTTAAGTCTCAGCTAGATTGCAGAAATATCCACACAGCTTCTCTTTTAAAGGGGCCTGATGGAGTCAGTCATTTTTGTTTAATTTTTACCTTATTGGGTAGGTATTCTTTGACTATTTCTCCTGACTGGCCCTTAGTAAAAACTTCTTTTCTGGATTTTTTATTTGGCTGTCTCTACCTACTCACCAAAATTAAAATGCAACGTTGGGGAAATAGCTTAATTAGTAAGCTGATTGCAATGCAAGTGTGAGGACCTTACTTGCAACCCCAGGACCCTTTAAAAAACACCCTGTTTGTAATCCTAATGCTGAGGAGGCGGAGATCTGCAGGTGACTTGAGCCCACTGGCCAGCTGGACTAACCTAATCAATTAGCCCAAGATTTCAGTAAATGAGTTCCTGAGGAACAACCTTTGAAGTAAATCTGTACACATGTGTATACATACACATACATGTACACCCTCAAACACATGGACACACACACACACACCTGAATATATACACAAAAAATTAAATTTTCAGCATGACCTTCCTGTGTACCAAATCACATGTTGAAAACATTCAGCTTATGATGTGATATGGTCCTATATTCATATAATTACTAAGTTTCTATGACAAGTTGTCCTAAGCATCTTAGGGTCAAGTGAATAAAGAATTCCTGATATCCTGCATTGTGCCTTCCCTGTTTGTTAGGGGGTTACAAATAAACCTAGTTCTGTGCTCTGCATGAACTGGTATATGTTAGCTACAGAATTAAAATCCATTGTCTAATGTTGTCTGTCAGGGGGTCAACACTTATTGATTGCCCACATTTTGCTCAAATAACTGTATTTATGCCTTCGGTAGCCTACAGACCAGAAGCCACTGTAGGAGTCGAAGTCTCTGACTCCAGTGTCAACTGCATCGAGCAGACCACAGAGTGGAGCGCATGTTCCAAGAGCTGTGGGATGGGCTTGTCCACCCGGGTCACCAACAGGAATCGCCAGTGTGAGATGGTAAAGCAGACTCGTCTTTGTATGGTTCGGCCTTGTGAACAAGAGCCCAAGCAACCGACAGACAAGGTAAGAGTCTAGAGGAGGCCTGCCACTTTTACAGCTGTTACAGGTCTCCTTGAAGCCTGACCTCAGAAAGTCACTGTCACACTAGTGAAAAATCTGCTCGAGCTGAGCTTCCACCCAAAGGGTCGGGAGCATCCTGAATCAAAACTGTACTTTCTATCTTTCATTTTTAATCTACATAAATGCCCCCCCTCAAGCAACTCACAGAAGCTCTACAAACAAATGGGAAAGGCCACACATTTCTAATACTTCCTCCAAATGAGAATGCTTGAGTAAATCCCATCCCACGCCTGGAGGGAAAAAAAATAGCTCTTCGGTCGTCAAATGCTGACTTTAGCAAGGTTAGTTTTTTGTTTTTTTTTTTAAATAAATCAGGTACAAGCTATAGGAAGGAGGAGAAAAGAGGCTATGTCTGCTTGGTTCATCTTAAGTCACCAAATCCTACTGTGCACCCTGGAACATACTGTGTACACAATAAACAGCTGTCAGAACATGCCTGAATGGGTGTCTGGGAGTTATCAACAATATTTTTAAAAGCCTGGTAGAAGTAGTACCTTTGCCAGAGTAAGGCAACACGAGCCAAATGAAACAGCATATTTCTTTCCTTTTTCCTTCTTTTGTGTGTGTGTGGGGGGAGGGGTTTGGAATTATGTCAACACAGTATGTTGATTCTGGGTATAAGGTGTGCAGCTCAAGAGGCCTAATTGGTTCCTGATGACATAAGAGGTCTTGTTACAGAACTGGATCAGATAAATGTAATATCAGATTTCACTATTACATAGATCCACATATCAGCCTGAGGCCAAAATAGAACAGCCCTTAGAAACTCAAGCTCTGTGTATCTCTACTCTGAAGCAGTATCATATAATGTTTAAGGGGACAACACTAGACCTGTCCAGCCTGGCTTTAAATCCTTTCAACATGACTTAGCTAGCTGTGTGATATTGGGGCAATTTATTTTCAATTATTCCCCCAGAGAGTGTGACCATTGAAAATATCTCTTGCTGGGTATAGTGGCACACATCTTTAATCCCAGCACCCAGGAGGCAGAGGCAGGCAGATCTTTGTGAATTTGAGGCCAGCCTGATATATAGAGAAAGTTCCAAGAAAGGCAGGACTACATAGAAAGACCTTGCCACAAAAAAAAGAAAAGAAAAGAAAGAAGAAAGGAAGGAAGGAAGGGAGAGAGGGAGGAAGGGAAGAAGAGAAAACATCTACCTTGAGGTTGTCATAAGGATTAAGCAAAATGGATTTGCAAACTGTAGGAAATAGATCAAATATTCTGTTAATGTTAGCCATCGAAGACTTAAATTTTTTCCCTACCACTAAAACAGGAGTCCGTTGTGATCTCATTGGTTATGCGGCTGTCCAGCTATAGAATTTTAGAGACATAATTACCTCAACTTTATGTTCCTTCTGCAAATTTTGAAAGAACACTTAGAAATTCTCCAAAATTATACCCTAGAAATGTACCTCCTGACACTTTAGGAGACATATGTGTAGCTTCACAATGAATGTTCACCCACATAAGCAGTCACACATTTACTTGCACACACACACACACACACACACACACACACACACACACACAATTTGCAACAAAGTTGCTCCCTTTGGCTTTCAATGGCCATAGAATAGATATATCCTAAACATTAGCTACAAAAAAGGAGAAATAGGCCCTGCAATATTTTCATGAACACGGTTACTTCTTTGTTAAAGAAAGCCTTTTTGCACAACACTTCTAGAATTTGGTCTTTCGCATCATTCCCTTGCACAATCAGTGTTTCTTTTAACTTAACACCTCACGTCATATTGGGAAATCCTATACTTAAGGTGTTTATATGATGTGCTTGTTTTATACAGGTTCTGGAAATGTGTTTGGAATGTAGAACTAGATCCTTGTTTCTAGGGTTTCTTAAGTCTATGACTGAGGATCCTATTGTGTAGTCCCCCAGGTAAACAGCAGCATCTGCAGATTCATGGGCCTCGTATCATATGTGCTAACTCTGGTTGTAGGAAGAACAATCGTGTTCTAACAAACCACCAGGGTGATGCTGGTGTGCACGAGGGTCTGAGAGCTACTGACATGAAGGGATTCCTAATCATCACCCCACATACCATGAGCCTCACCCAGGAAAGTGTGCAGTGGAAAATTGTGGCAAATTCAAAGTGGAGTAGGAAATAAAAGTCATTTGTTGGCTTATTTAATGAAACTTGGATGGTTTCTTTATTATCTGAACTGGTAGGATATTGAATAAACTCCCCACCCAATTCAGTTTCATAGAAAGAATCTTAAATTTCACTGTCCTAGAATTCCCAAGGTCATAATGTATTAGAAGGAACTGGCTTTGCATCAGACAAATTCCAGTGCTTGATGTTTTCTGATCATTTCAGTCCTTTGAGACTCTGCTTTTCAAATCAAATTAGGTTGGTTGTGTCTTATATTAACAGTTATTCCTTTTGTGAATGAATGTTGTTGAAGTTAAATGAATTAATGCCAAGAAAGTCTTTTAAACATGAATAGACTTTAATAATGCCACATTTAGTCCCTCTCTCAATAACACCAAAGAATGCATTTAGCTAAATAAAATAATGGCTTAAAATGAGAAAGATTCTTTCTTCCTCATGTTCACAGCCTCAAAGACAAAGGGGCATTCTGCATATTTAGCATTATGTTCAAATTCTAGGCAGAAAAGAACATGAGTGTAAGAGAGGAGTAAGAATTGTCCAAAAGGCAGAGAATTGTCCAGAATTATTGGATTGGTGTTATTATTAGTTAAATATTATTATGAGTTCCTAGGTATTCTAGGGAAACAACTGATTTTTAGCTGGCAAGGTTGTCCAACTAAAGTTAATGATTTATTTAAAAAGATGAAAGAGCAAAGGACGCTAGGTGGGCGGGATGACTGTTAAAGTGGTCCTTCAGAAGAAGTGCAGGATTTCCACTCAGTAATCTTCTTTTTTTCTTTCTTAGAAAGGTAAAAAGTGTCTCCGCACCAAGAAGTCCCTAAAAGCCATCCACCTGCAGTTCAAGAATTGCACTAGCCTGCATACCTATAAGCCCAGGTTCTGTGGGGTCTGCAGCGATGGTCGGTGCTGCACCCCCCACAACACCAAAACCATCCAGGTGGAGTTTCAGTGCTCCCCCGGGCAAACCATCAAGAAACCAGTCATGGTCATCGGGACCTGCACCTGTCACTCCAACTGCCCTCAGAACAACGAGGCCTTCCTCCAGGAGCTGGAGCTGAAGACCAGCAGAGGAGAAATGTAACAGGTGTCCAAGGAAGCATGAAGATGGAGGCAAACTGTTGCTGCTGCATGACCCAGCATCACCTGAATATAAGAAACATAATGAAGCAGTGTCCCATGTATGTTTCTGTGATCACATGAGATCATTTATATTTGTCTTTTTTAATGGAAGGTGTTCCAAATGTAAACTTGGAATTGAGGTAAGCGCAGGATATGGTTTAAGGATGTCTTGCTTTCCTGTGCTGTTTATTGCAAGTGTAAATTTGTATAAATTTAAGTCAGATAGGTGATGTAATTTGTAGAATGTGTCACGTTACACTCATTTTCTGTGCATCAGTTCAACCCCCAATAAATGTCACAGAAATGAATGACACAGTGAAATCTAAGCTCACCTTGGCCATGTACATATATATATCACCATATACTGACGTTGACTTGAGGGATCTCTACTGAGCTCTTTTGGGGGGGGTCAACTCTGCACTCCCAAGTCTAAGATGAAAAGCTACATGCAGCTCTTGCACATGAAGTTCAGAGACTAATTTTCTACTTAGTGGTAGGAAATGTGCTGTATCTACAGCAGTGGAATGTCTGTTAATTAAGTGGGACTGATGTCATGAACTTTCTCCATCATAGACAAACTGACTCCTTTCTAATCGAAAGAAGCTGAACCAAAAACTCCCAGTGCAGAGATGACTGGGCCTCTCAGGCCATCATTTGTATCCTGAAGGCTGCTGAGGCTCATTCCTTCATAATCCAGCAGGGATTCTCTCATGCTTACACAGTACACTGAGGCTCAAGCCACCTAATTACAATCTCTGATGACTTTCAAATGTGCTTTTAGTGCAATTTAGAGGAGGAAAGGCAGAAGCTGCGAATTTTGTGAGAGCTTAAAGTTACTGAAGACCTGCTTATAATACATCCTCTGGTCATAATTATGAAAATACAAGATATGCATGTGTACGTATGTGTGTCTAGTAGATGAAGACCACCAAATGTGCTGCAAAATGCAATTTGTACAACCCTCTAATGTCACCACACATGATCAACTTTTGTCCTTAAAGTATTTATAAAAATATAAATTATACATTTTGTAAAATATTCTTTTTAATTCCTCTAGTTGTCAGACACAACTTTTAAAAATACGATGTTATCAGTGCGTGACTCTGGTATTAGTTTCGTGTTACAAGTTTAATGTTGTTTACTGAAAATAAAAATCCATGAATTAAATAGGACATCAGCCAGTAGCATCTATTGAAAGCAAAGTGGATATTTTGTGATGAGCTCATAACTCTTTATCAGGAGGAAATGAAAGACAGCTTTTATTGTGTTCTGTGATCACCATTCCCAAAGTCTCAAAGATTCTCTGTGCCATTTGCTCAGACCGTTATCTTCGACCCCAGTCATTTTCCAGAAG